TAAGGTGAAAATATTGGGGAAGAAATAGAGATATACATCAAGTAAGCTATTTTTCCAGTTCATCTACTTGAGCCATAATTTGAAATTCACTTTGAATTGCTGACAGTTCTCACATTATCGAATAGCTCTGCATGTGTAAGCAGTATTCCAAATGAAAGGGACTGATTGCAAATATATAGTCATGGCATTCTCTAGTGTACCATGCTGTAAACAAGTGATCAAACTGTATCAAAGTCAGCACTAACAAAGACATATCACTTTAGATAAACAGCACCATCTAGTGTTTACTTTCAGATACATTTCAGTTTTTTTCTACATTAAAGTGCATTTTAGCCCATCACTTGCCAGACTGCAGACACAAAATGAAAGGATGTCTGGCACACCAAGCTACAAGGAGCCTATTCAAAATGCAAAGTAAGGTTACTAAATTGCTATAATCTTGGGATTTCAAAGACTATGCATCTTCCAGAGAAAACTTCCATAAAACACTTACAGGATTATTCACTAAACACCATATTTTGTCTGGAATTCAAACTGTGATGGCAAGTCTTATATTTTCAAAAATCAAATATGGTTGGAATTTTGTTGGCCCAAGCAAATGTGCAGCAATCACAGGGATGCATTCAGTGGCCAGATTCAAACCAGTGCTTTCACATCTGAACCTTAAATAAAGCATAGTATTCCAAAGATTTACAATGCCCCAATATTTGTAAAATTCATAACCAAATGCATTCGGTAGGAAGCACATCCACATTTTATTATTCAATTGCTTTTTTTGCAAGTGAATTGTTAATTTGAGTTGCTATTTGTCCGCACTGTCATTATAATTTATTGCAATAATTATTTAGAGCCCCCACTTGCCGCCCATGTCACTAGGTGTCCCTTTGGATATGCTAGGTATCCCCTTGAATATAATAAAGAGGGCCACCACTTTGCAACAATGGGAGGTGGCTGGGGGGAGGGGGCATTAGTCACCCCCCTTTTTCTATTATTAAATAGACCCAAGCACTGACCACAGATCCCTTACCCAATACCCAATGGGGGGGCCCTTTTTCAAGCAACTTGGCAACAGCTACATGACTGATGGAGGCATAGGAAGCTTTAAAACCTCCCTTATATTAATATAGGGATCTTATTGAACCTGGTAGGCCTTTATTTAGTTTTAACTTTTTTAATGTGATGGCTGTCTAACAAGCGCTGGCCATCTGCCACATAATTAATCCTCTCAGTGTTGAGGCTTTTGATTGTGTGCTAACGCTGCAAGAGGGAAAATGTGACATCTGACGCATGCAGACGCATGGAGTGAGCTCTCAGAGCCTTGAGCTCTCAAAGCCAGTGATTATTAGCTCATACCTGTCACGATAGTGACCCCTTCACACAGATGGTAACCCAGAAAGAGACGTATACCGGACCTTAGGGTGGCCGGACTTAACGTCAAAGAATAGTTAAGAAAAAGCCGAGGATCAAGGGAGTACGGAAATCGGGATAAACGAGAAAGCCAAGCCAAAAGTCAGGGAGCCAGATAGGAGAATAGTCAGAACGAAAGCCAAGGGTCAAAATACCAGAAAAAACAGCTAAACAGAATAAGAGCACTAGGGGAACAATCAAGAACCACACTAGGGCACTGAGGGGTGGACAGGGATGCCCTTTTATACTAATGTGTGTGTCACTTTAAAGCCACGCCCCCAAAAGGTTCGGGAGCGTGGCCGCGTTTGAATTTTCGCGGCAAAATCATTATGACGTCGGCGCGCATGCGCCGCGTCATAAAATGGATTTTGCCGCGAGTGGGCAGCGTCCGAGAGGCTGCGCCGCCCCCCGGAAGCAGCCGGGGAAACTGCCGTGCCGCGCGGGATCGGCGGACACAGGTAAGGTATCGTCACAATACCGACATAAGAATATCCACACTATAGCTTGATTCAATACAGAACAAATGGCACCATCTAAACAAAACAAACTAACAGACTCTGTCCGGAGAAAATCCTGCATACCATGTTCCAAGATCTAAGAGCTACCTTACAGAAGGATTTTAAACAAATATTATCTGATTTAACTAAAGAAATCTCTGATCTGGGAGACAGGACCAGCATTTTGGAAAACTGTACTGAGGATCTTTGTACAGCCCATAATGAGGTGATAAGATCAAACTGTTAACAAAGGAAAACCATAATATAAAACTCAAAATGGCAGATATAGAAGTTAGGCCAAGAAGGAACAATGTGAGATTTAGGGGCATTGCGGACAATGTTACTCAAGAAGCTTTACCTGCTTTTATCAGGGAACTTTGCTCCACAATTTGACCTACCATGGAAGCTGAGGCCTATACTTTCGACTGCATACATCGCCTTCCTCATCCACAAAGATTCACAGCTGATACACCCAGAGATGTGATTGTTCATTTTCATTACCTTCATTATAAGAACAAATTGCTCATAGAAGCCAGGAAACAGAAACCGCTCCCCTCTCCCTACCAGGAGATTACCTTGCTTGCAGATTTATCAGCCACTACTATGGCCAGAAGATGCGAATTTGTGAATATAACAAAAACTCTGCGCAACCACAAAGTGGAGTATCGATGAGGATACCCTACTAAACTCTTGATTTGCCGAAATGGTAAAAGGCAAGTAATATTGGAACCGAAATCCTTATAACTGGGGACTTATGAAACCAGAAGATCGCCTACGGCAAGTCCCTACTTCTTCTGAAAAGATTCAGAAGGAATGGATGATGGCTTCTTCATAGAAACCAAAACTGACTTCCCAAAACTTAAGATTTCATAAGAAACAGCTGTATATCCTTTGATTATTTTGGGTGTGTTTTTACCGGTATTCTTTTTTTTGTTGTGCATTAAGATCACTACGTGGGGGAGATTTTCATGATGTTTATGCTACCTGGGCAGTATCACAAAGTCTTGCAAATTGCTCATTTGTTTTTTATATTTTTAAAAGTTTGGGGGTTTTTGTTTTCTTTTTGAGATGAGACTTTACTTGTATAGTAGATAATTAGTAGATAACTGAAAATAAGTTGCGTGCCACAACATTTGCAAGTTCCCAGGTCCTGCATAGAGATGACACCATAACAGATAGATCTTGCCTCTATGCACGACCACATTAGTGAACTTTGCCAAGCCTTAAGATATAGAAGTGTATACCAAGTTGAAAGGGGGGGGGGGAAGAGGGGGAAAAGGGGGGCAGAACAAAGGGGAAAAGAGGAGAAGAGAGAAAAAAGAAGGGAAAAACAACATGTTTTATAGGGTTTTTTTGTAAGTGTCATGTAGAGCTCTGCTCAGAGTTTAACATAAGCATAATAGGGTGCAGTTGTTGCGCAACATGAGTATAATGAACAAACTTTGTTTCACTAATAAACCCCCATTCTTATGTACAAATGTATACCCTATATCCTTGCTAAACACTGTCCTTAAATTGTACACAAAACTGTTGGCTTTGCACATTAAACCACTATTATCGTCCCTTATTTCAAACGAGCAAGCAGGTTTGTTCCAAAGAGACAAGTGGGGGACAACACAAGATTTTTTATAGACCTATTAGATTGGGCACACCGTAGTTCTCAAAGACGTATACTATTTGCGTTGGACGCGGAGAAAGCCTTTGACCGGCTTAACTGGTTACATATGGAGGCTACTCTGTTTAAAATGCGATTTTCAGGGGCATTTGTCAAAAGCATAATGGTGCTATATTCCCATCCAACAACTAAAGTGTTTAACATTGGCTTTCTATCCTCTGCCTTCCCGATCTCTAACAGTCCACGCCAAGGCTGCCCCCTATCACCCATTATTTTTATATTATGCCTAGAGACAGCTTAAAGCTTCCATTTCTATTCAAGTGCTGACCACTCCTATAGGGGAAAAGGAACTTGCACTTTTTGCAGATTATGTTTTGCTTTGTCTAACTGTCACGTATTCATCCACTTATAAAAATGTGGTTAATGGCATTTACTGTCCACACAGGAAAAGTTGTGCCGAGCAGCAACCAAATCCACAGAAGGGTTAATGCTGAGCAGCAATTATGCAAATGGAACCTGGTAACTGACTTTGGGGTCAAAGGCCGGTTACAGCCTATCAGATCTAGAGGAGGGGTATTTAGGTCCAGTTCTCATCCTGCTCAGTGCCCTGTCGTGGTTTCCCTTGTGGTTGTCCGAGAGCGCGTTATTGATTCTGGTAATTCTGGTTATTTGACTTTTGCATTGTTTTTGACTTCCCTGTTTTCTGGCATCCCTGACTCTTGGCTTTTCTTTATCATTGTCAGGGCCGGTGCTTGGATTTTTAGGTACATAGGCGAAGATGCCTTTTTCCGCCCCCCCGCACCCCCCCCGAAAAAAAAACATCTTCACCTATGTGCCTCTTAACCAGCCCCTCTCCCCTCCCTGACCATTAGTAGTCCCTTCCCTTCCCTGTCCCTTAGTGTTCTTCTCCCCTCCCCCCTCTTTTCCCTGTCTCTTGGTGTTTCTCTCCCATTCCCTCCCTGTCCCTTGGTGCACCCCACACCCCTTTAGTGGTCACACTCCCCTTCCTGGTGTGCCTCCTACCTCTATTGTTGCATTGCCGAGTGGAGCAGATCCCCTAAAGGAGCTTCAGTTTTCTGTACCCGGCCGGACTGACAGGGAGTGCTCTCTCTGTGAGCACCTCCTGTCAGTTTGGCCAGGTACAGGAAACAGAAGTTCCTGTACCGCGCTCTGCTCCGCTACACTCTGTACACACTGACAGTCACACACTCAATGACAAACACACAGACGTCACTGACAGACACAGACTCATTGATCTGACACACACTCATTCATTGACACTGACAGACCCACACTGATTGACACTCATTGACAGACACACTGATAGTCACACACAGACTCAATGACAAACATACTCTCACTGATTTGACAGACAGACACACTCATACACTCGCACACACACTCATACAATCACTCACAGACACACACACTGTCACTCACAGACACACACACTTTGTCACTTACACACACTTTGTCACTTACACACACTTTGTCACTTACACTCACAGACGTACACACTTTGTCACTCACACACACTGTCACTCACAGACGTACACACTTTGTCACTCACACACACTGTCACTCACAGACGCACACACTTTGTCACTCACACACACTGTCACTCACAGACACACACACTGTGCTCACACACACACACACACACTGTCACTCACAGACACAGACACACACACACAGTCACTCACAGACACACACACTGTCACTCACAGACACACACAGTCACTCACAGACACACACCCTGTCACTCACAGACACACACCCTGTCACTCACAGACACACACACACTGTCACTCACAGACACACACACTGTCACTCACAGACACACACTGTCACTCACAGACACACACACACAGACACACACTGTCACTCACAGACACACACACTGTCACTCACAGACACACACACACAGACACAGTCACTCACAGACACACACACACTGTCACTCACAGACACACACACACACACAGACACACACTGTCACTCACAGACACACACACTGTCACTCACAGACACACACACACAGTCACTCACAGACACACACACACACACAGTCACTCACAGACACACACACACACACAGTCACTCACAGACACACATCACATGCATTCACTAATTATTTTATAAATACATATTTTCCACCCAGCCTCCCACCCTAGATTATGGATCGGTCCCTGGGGCTGCTGGGAGGCGTGCGGCAGTGCTGTGAACAGGCGCGGCGAGGGAGCTCTAATCTCCACCCTCTGCTCCCTTGCGGGCTGCTTGCTGATGCCGCGGGAGCCGGGTTGATGACGTCATATTCCGGCTCCCGCGGCATCAGCAGGCAGCGCGCGAGGGAGCAGAGGGTGGAGATTAGAGCTCCCTCGCGCGCCTGATCACAGCACTGCCGCGCCGGGGGTCGAGATGGTGGCCTGGCAGGAGGGAGAGCTTCCCTCCTGCCGGTCACTGAAATATTGCGCCCCCAGAGCCCGTGCGCCCTAAGGCGGCCGCCTGTGCCGCCTTATGGACGCGCCGGCCCTGATCATTGTGTCTCTTTCTGTTTCCCTTGACCTTGGCTATTCCTGACTATTCTTTAGTATGTTAGTCCGGCCATTCTAAGGTCCGGTATACGTTACCTTTCAGTCCTCTGTGTTACACAATTCTACGTGCTGGATCATTCTGTAATCTTGACACTAACACAACCAATAGAATCTATACCCTGTTTATTACGTATTTTGAATGAGTATGGTTATATTTTAGTTTTTTACAGAAACAATACTTTGAAAACCAAGCCCTTACAATTAACCTTCCTAAGCAGATAGTAAGTATATTACAAACCGCTTATAATTTTGACTGGCGTCACAAATCATTAACATAACTAAACATCCCCAACATCTTATGAAACCGTGATTCATAAGGAATCCACACAATTGGAGAGTTGGAGAGACCTGGAGGTGTCATGGCTAGGGGGGATCAACACCATTAAAATGATGGCTATGCCACACATTTTATATTTATTTAGGAGCATTCCTTTTTCATTACCGAATCGTCTCTTAAATCGTCTACAGGTAATGCTTAACGCCCACATCTGGAATATAAAGCCCCCCACAAGTTGCCAAGCAGTTGTCATGGCTTCCTGCACAGGCAGGAGGACTAGACATCCCTAGTATGCGTAATTACTATAGAGATTCGCTTTTAGCACAAGGCATCGATATTCCTTTTAAACAACTAAAACCTATATAGCTCTCCCTGGAAAACGAATGTATTTTCCCTATATCTCTCTCTGCATTACTGTGGACTAACATAACTTGCAATCTAGCAAAGGTCTGTTATGCACTAAAGTTCTGGTACTAATATGGAAGGTTGATAGATCCAGACTCCCTACTGATGATAGCACCACTTCATGCCCTAAAGGATATATCACCTGACTTACCCTTAACTTCATCGCCTTCCCAAGGCATTGTAAAAGTCTCCGCTCTCTATGATCATAAGGGAATAAAACAATTCCCAGCTTTACAGGCAGAATTCTGTTAGGGACCAGGAACCAGACAGAGACAGAACTAGATGCAAATACACCTTTATTAATAAATAACAAATAAAGAAATAACCAAAAGCAAAGTCCAGGAGGCAAGCAGGGGTCAGTCACCAGAGCGGGTAGTCAGACGAGCCAGGATCAGGAGAACGGAGATCAGCGAAGTCAGGAACAAGGCCAGAGTCAGGAACCAGGAACAAACAGGAAACACAGGAACAAGGAGACTTCTGTGGAACAGAAAACCACGCAAGGGCAAGGAGGTACTGGGATTTGCTGCTTAAATAGGCTGCACTGATTAGCAGCAGGGTTGATTACTATTCTCAGGTGAGTAACCGTGGCAACATACTCAAGGAGCTGATCGTTAATCTCATCTGAAAACTCAGACACTGAAAAAGGAAGGGTTGCTGTTTAAAACAGCAAAGAAACCCTGACAGTACCTCCCCCTAAACGTCGCCCCCCATCTCTGCTGGTGGGTCCAGGCTTCAAGGGGAAGCGGGTGCGATAGGAACGAAGGAGGGATGGTGCATGGACATCAGAGGCTGGAACCCAGGAGCGTTCCTCTGGACCGTACCCTTTCCAGTGCACCAAGTATTGGATCTGTCCTCTGAAGACTCGTGAGTCAATGATGCTGCGTATTTCATATTCCTCATGATTGTCAACCAGAACAGGACGTGGACGTGGCACTGAGGTGGTGTAACGATTACATACCAACGGTTTCAAGAGGGAAACATGGAATACATTTGAGATGCGCATGTTAGCAGGAAGGTCAAGTGTGTAAGCTACAGGACTAACCCTTCAAAGTATACGAAATGGCCGAACGTATCAGGGTGCCAGTTTTTGTGAGGGAACACAGAGCCGTAGGTTGTGAGAAGACAGCCAGACCCTCTCTCCGACCTGATAGGTAGGTGCAGGAAGGCGTCTGCAGTCGGCCTGGAGTTTGTAGTTCTGCATTGCGCGTTGCAAAGAGTTCTGAACCTACACCCAAGTGGAACGGAGTTCCCTGAGATGTTCCTCCAATGCCGGTATCCCCTGTGGCATGAACGTATCAGGCAACATAGACGGTTGAAACCCATAGTTCGCCAAGAACGGGGATAGCCGGGAAGAGGCATTAATCGCACTATTGTGGGCAAACTCTGCCTAGGGTAGCAGATCAGACCAGTTGTTCTGGTGGTCAGAAATGTAGCAACGCAGAAATTGTTCCAGGGCTTGGTTAGCTCATTCCGTGGCACCATTGGATTGCGGGTGGTAGGCCAAGGAGAAGGAAAGCTGAATTCCCATTTGTGTACAAAAAGCTCTCCAAAATCTGGACACAAACTGGCTATCCCTATCTGAGATTATCACTCTGGGTAATCCATGCAAACGAAAGACCTCCCGAGCAAAAATTGTTGCAAGTTCCTGAGAAGTTGGTAGTTTTTTCAAGGGAATGCAATGCGACATCTTAGAGAATCGGTTAACAACCATGAGAACGACTGTATTGCCACGGGAGACCGGAAGATTTATGATAAAATCCATGGACAAGTGGGTCCAGGGTCGTTCACCATTAGGTATGGTTTGCAGGAGACCCACTGAAGGGTGTCGTGGGGTTTTATTTTGAGCGCATACAGGACAGACAGCTACAAAATCGGTGACATCCGAACGGAGACTAGGCCACCAAAATTGCCGAGAGACGGACCAGATTAACTGTTTTTTGCCTGGATGTCCAGCTGCTTTGGGGTTGTGATATGTACTTAATAATTTAGTAAGGATATAAATAGGTACAAAACAACAGCCATTGGGTTTCTCTGGAGGAGCATTAATTTGTGCAGCCAGAATCTCCGCGCCTAGGGGTGAGGTGAGGTTAGTATGGATGGTGGCCAGTGTACGGTCCGGAGGAATCACAGGAGTAGGGGTTATCTCCTCTCTAGATGGAGGGAAGAACTGTCGAGACAAGGCATCAGCCCCGAATGTTTTTAGTACCGGGCAAGTAAGAAACCACATAATTGAATCTTGATAGGAAGAGAGCCCATCTAGTTTGCCGGGGGAAAGCCGCTTAGCTTCGGAAAGATATGTAAGATTCTTGTGGTCTGTGAGGATCAGAATTGGCACTGAAGTATCCTCAAGAAGTTGCCTCCATTCTTTGAGGGCTAAAATTATAGCTAGAAGTTCTCTATCACCAATCTGGTAATTGCATTCCGCCGGGTTCAATTTCTTCGAGAAATACCCGCACGGATGCCTGGAGCTCTCTGGGTTAGGACGCTGAGAAAGGGGGGAGCCTACTCCTGTCTCAAAGGCATCGACTTCAAGAATGAATGGTAAGGCAGGGTTAGGGTGTGCCAGTATAGGAGCAGCACCAAAGGCGACTTTGAGAGACTCAAAGGCAGTAATGGCTTCCTGTGATCAATGCTGTGGATCAGAATCTCTCCTGGTCATATCCGTGAGAGGTTTAACCAAGGAAGAAAAGTTGCATTTGAACTTCCAATAATAATTGGCAAAGAATGCTTCTGTAGCCAAGGGTATCCCAAAACAACCTGATAATATGGAGAGGAAATGACCTGGAATTGGATCGTCTCATGATGTAGAGCCCCTACAGCCAGAGATATAGGCATGGTCTCCTGGGTCACGTGGGTTGGCTGTATTGGTCTGCCATCGATGGCTTCGAAAGCTAGTGAGGAGTTGCAAGGCTGTAAGGGTATAGAGTTCTCCGATGCAAATGCACAATCTGTAAACAAGCCTGCGGCCCCAGAATCAAGCAATGCCTGGGTTTTAATGGATGAATCAGGCCAGGAGAGGATAATAGGCACCAAGGGTTTGTCCTCATATATCTCTGGGTCTGCAGAAAGATCACCCAAGATCTGCCCCTGACAGTATCTTGGGTGCGGGCCCTTTACCGGACGAATCGGGGAAAACTTTAACATGTAACCCTGGTGTCCGCAGTATAGCCACAGGCCCTCCCTCCTCCTAAAGGCTCTCTCCTCGACAGAGAGGCGTGAGAAGCCTAACCGCCTCCACTCCACACCAACAGAGGGCTCAGGACCAAGTGGCATGGGAGGTGAGGGAGGTTTGGGTGGGCAAGAAAAGCTTGGTGCCAAATATACAGGAGGCCTCTGCAGGCGCTCCCTGGATGAGGATCTCTCTCGGAGTTTGATGTCAATGAGGGTGACAAAGGATATCAGTTCCTCGAGGTAATTCTCTGGCTGCAATCTCATTTTTAATAACATCGGAAAGCCCCTGTGCAAAAGCAGCCACAAGGGTCTCGTTGTTCCAGCCACCCTCTTCTGTCATGGTACAGAATTCACTGGCATGCTCGACAATAGTTCTCGTGCTCTGAGCATTAGACATGAGTTGTTTGGCAGTAGGGGTGGAGCAAGCTGGAATATCAAAAACCCTTTTAAAGGATGCAACAAATTCAGGGTAA